GGCTGGCCTCAAACTSGAGATCCTTCTGCCTCAACCTCCTGAATAACAGAGGTGTACTGTTATATGCCAACTCGTATTATACATAACTCAGAATGAGTCACTGAGCCTCATTCTCTTAGCCATTTTAAATCTCAGTTTATTCATGTTACAAWTTAGGGAACTAAACCAATTATAGAACCAATGTTCCATAATTCTATATGGGTACAATATAAATGGTGACACTATTTTTCAATGTGGTAGTAAAAGAAAGAAGCATTCTTGGAGGTAGAAAAGATGTGCGCCCAGTACAGTTTAGTATGTGTGTGTGTGTGTGTGTGTGTGTGTGTTTTAAAAGTATTAGAAGATTTAAGGTCTTAAATTATTAGAACCACCTGGGCGGGTAGACATGGTGTGTGGTGGTCAGTGGGAGTTTTATAAGAAAAGGAATTTGGTTTGGGATATGAAGAAGAGTAATAGGATTTAACAGAGAGTTGAGGATTGAAGGCATTTATGGAAGAAGGAATAAGGTAAACAATGCCAGTACAGGGCAAACCAAGAGCAGGAGCAGAGTGCAAGTTGACTGGAAGAAAGGTTTTACATAAGAGGAACAGTGAGATTTTATTCTGATGGGTTTTGCAGCCAGGGACTTGGGAGGCTGTATGTGCATCTGTGTGTTGTAGGCATTGATAGGATAATATGAGGTCACTGATCGTATCAAGAGTAGTGTTTAGGGTGATTAAGCTTGTGTGATGGGCAGGATGGCTAGGAGGCAAAAAGAAAAAAATGATGATGGAAGTGACTGTAATAGAGTCAGTGTAAGATGAGAAGACAGTTACCCAAGGTAGTGTCTGTGGGAATGGAAGGAAAAGAGAAGGAAAAATTGACAGATCTTGCTACTGAATGAATAGAAGAATGAGGTAGAATGATTATTCAAAACTTATTAGCAAGTTAATGTGGATAACTGCTATGAACAGAAAGATAAACATAAATTATTGGGCCAGAAAGTGGATTTCATGTATTCAGTCAACAAATACGTATACTRTAGGATTGCTCTCTGTGCAGCAGGAGCTACAAATTAAACATGAAGGATAGAGTGGTACAAACAGTTCCTTGCCCTTGTGAAATCACATTCTAGTATAGAAGGTAGGCAATAAACAAGTAACAAATAAATAATAAGAGATTTTCAGAGAGCAGTAGGTGTATAAAGAAAAAAATAGGGTGAGGGCTAGAGAGAATGGGGTTTGGTAATGTTGTGGGTCATTTTATTTTAGATAGAACAGTCAAGCAATTTCTCTAGGAGAAGGCAATATTTTTGCAGACACATGAATGAATGGGAGAGCAAGAGGGAAAGATTTCCAGAAATACAATTCCAGGAGGATCAAATGATAAGTGTGAAAGCTTCCAGGCAGGAACATATCTGGCTTCTTTTTGGAATAGCAAAGTAGTTTCTGTGGGTAGTGGAGAGGAAGGGGGAATTAGGCAGGTGCCAGATCATGTAGCACCTTGCAGRCCATGATAGAGAGCACTTAGTGTTTTGAGTGCTATGGGAAGTCTCTGGAAGGGGAAAATGGCAAACTTACTCAGTTGCATTTCAGGTAAGACATTGAAGATAGCAGTATTCCCACAAGAGTGGATGTGGTCTGAAGTTGCAGATACAGGCGAGCATATTTTGGGGAACAGTTCTCCCAGTCCATTATGTTTAGATAAAGAATGGTAGAAATCTGGCAGCATTTTGATTACTTGGTCTTTAACTCCTAATTACTCAGATCAGATGGGAAAAGCTGTTCTAACTAGAAAATTTTTATTCCCATGAGTATAATTCGTGATACATAAGCAACACGTATTTCCTCCCCTTTCTTCTACCTAAACTTGGAAACAGATTTTTTTTAAATTAGTTTTGTCAAATCTAACATTCTTAACATTAATTTCTATGCTGTACCTGTTAAATATGGTCTTAGATAGGAACCAATTCTGACCTTAATATTTCTTTGAGCATCTATGATTACTGATAATGTAGAGCCATCTGAAGCTTTGGGACTTCTCTAGAACATTTATGTGTGTACTGAAACCATTTATCTTGTTGAGTCTTTGGGGACTGCTCAGATTGATTACTGTGCAATGCCTGACATCTGGTGGTAACAATTGGGTATTGTCACTCTACTTGTTTTTCATATTTATTATACATCCATTGTCATTTTGAGAAATTTTTTTTTAAATTATGTACTCTTTCCATCCTTGTTTGCAAAATAATAGTTTCAGAGAATCATGAGGATTGATATAAGAAGGAACATTTTAGCAATATGAGGATTATGTCCAGATCTCCTAAAGTAAAAGCAATTGTCTGTACTACAAAAGAATCTGGTATAGAAAATCACAGCAGAGAAGCTGCCTACTCACTGAAGAAGCCTAGGAAATGAGGTGATGTGTTACTTCAGAGCCAGCCCCCATCTATTGTGGATTCCTGTTCTCTCTTTGACTCTTAATTAAGTCTGATCTTTGTTTCAGATGTGACTGAGACTCACTGCCTCAGTTCTCTTAGATATGACTCCTTCAAAATCCTTTACTTCTTACTACCATCTGTTTATCTTGTTTCTACCTATGTCCCCCCATCCTACACACATACTCTCTGGTACCCTTTCCATTTTTTTATTCACTGTGCTCATTCTTGCTATTCAACTTGTGAATAAATTTTAGGAGTAGAGATCAGTGACCAAGAAGTCCTAGCCTTATGGAATCTTTGTCACTTTGCCTAGCACCCTAATATTCATTTCCTACAGTGTGTGACAATCATAAATAGTGAAGAAGTAACCTATGGAATATGAGGAGATATTTATAAACTATACATCTGATAAGGGATAAATATTCAAAGTATGCAAGGAACTCAAACAACTCAGTTGCAATAAAACAAACTAATTAAAAGTTGGCAAAGGACTACAAAAGAGACATACAGTAGGTTTGTGAAAAAAATGCTTGTGAAAAATAGATTCTCAGGAAATACAAATCAAAATCACATTGGATATCACCTCATGTCTGTTATATTGGCTATTATCACAAAGATAAGAGATATCAAGTGTTGGTGAGGATGTGGAGAAAAGTCAACCCTGTATACCATTACTGGGAATGTAAATTAGTTTAGCCATCATGGAAGAGTATGTTGGTTTCTCAAAAAATTAAAGTAGAATTATCATATGATGTAGTAATCCAAGCACAGGTATATATCCAAAGGCAATGAAATTGCAGCATTTTCACAATAGCCAAAATACTGAACCAACCTGTTTCCATCAAAGTTGAATCTATTAAACAATGTGATTTACCCGCACAATGGAATACTATTCATTCAAATAAAAAATGCTATCTTGACATATTCAACAACTTGGAAGAATCTGAAGAACATTATGCTAAGTGAAGTAATTCAGGCATTTATCAGAAAGATAAATGCAGTGTGATCTCACTCATGGAATCTCAGAGCCAATTAAATTCAGTAGATCTATTATACAACATGGTGTTTATAGCTAATAACAGTGTATTATGTATTTGAAAATTGCTAGAGAGTAAATTTTAGATGTTCTTATCACAAAAAAATATGTATGTAAGGTAGTGGCCAAATTAAGTAGTTGAAGTAGGTTATTCCAAAATACATATGTGTGTGTACACACACACACATTTATCTATATCTAGATATATATATCTCAAAACACCATGTTGACAACACACAAAATTTTGGTCAATTAACAAAGAAAAATCACTTAAAATATAAATACTTAAAATTATGGATTGCATTTTCATTAAAAATAATGTGTTATATTTGCCATTGCTTGAGTTCTTTTGGGAAAGTCCACTTTCTTTGTAAAAAACTATTTTATGAAACAGCTTAATGGAAGTACCATTGACCTAAAATAAACTTCATATGTTTTAAGTGTATAATAGCTAAGTGTTGGTATATGTATTTATATGAGAAATCATTACCAAAATCAAAATAATTCACATACCGATAGAAAAGTTTCTTCAGGATCTTTTACAATCCCTCCCTTTTGTCCCTCCTCACTTATTGGAGCTCTCCCCTCCATTCCCAATCCCTAGGCAACTACTGTTATGCTTTTTGTCATTACAGACTAGAGTGTACATTCTAGAATTTTATAATGCAGAATTATATAGTATATACTCTTTTTGTCTGGTTGATTTCTACCAGCATAATTATTTTGACATTCTTCCATGTTGCAGCAATTTTTTTTGTTTGTTTGCTGAATAACAATCTGCTGTGTGGATATTACAGCAGTTGTTAATTCATTCAACTGCTATAGATATTTGGCTTGTTTCCAAATAGATCTGCATAGCATTCCTGTAGCCTGATTTCTTGTTTCTGAGATTGAGGTTCAGGATAATAGATCTTCACTTCAGTGAGTGATAAATAGGAAAATATGACCAGCTCAAAAAAACTTCCTCAGGAGCAAGTGTTTCTTGGTGAGGCTGGAGTGATTCTGCCAAGTCACTGACAGCCTGCCTTGGCTTTGACCTGCATCATGTTTCCTGATGAAGTGAATCACATCTGGAGTCAGGCATGTCAGTGTTAAACACAGTAGCTGATTTATGGATCCCTTGAAAGTCAGACTTAACCTCCTAAGAGTGAGAATGTGATGTGACAGGCTACACTGCTGATAATCCTTGGGTGCTGACCCCAGGGTCTGGCTGCTACCTAGCCTTTGAAGCTCAGGTCTGTTCTACTTATAATTTTACAAAACTTTTTTTTTCTTTGTTCTCTGGCCCTCAGCCATGATTTTAGCCCAAATTCCTGTTTTTATCTGCTTTTTTCCCCCAATACCAATTCAAGCTGCTGCTGCAATTGAGTTTTTGGATTTGGCTAGCCTTGTCTTCTGTTGGGAAGCATTAACACATGACTGACAAGAGACAAAAATTGATTAAAGAGGTTTGGCTCTAGAACATGTATTTTATAAGGCTTATTTAGAAGCATGCTATAAGCTATAAGAATAAGCTGTGAATATTGTTCAACAAAATTTTCTCAGGCCTTCTGGATCTCTCTAAACTGGGTTTCCCTACTATAGTCATATTCCTGGTGTCTGCAAATCCCTCTGACTTTCATATTTGTTCCTGTGCAGTAGTTGCTATGGAGAGCCCGAATGGTGCTGAAGAATTGCTGGCCACAGAAGTAAGGTTTGTTAATTGTCAAAGCACACTCTGTTGATGACAATGAGGAATGATAGAAAGCAGCTTAGTGCTCCATTCTTCTTAAAGGACTTGCAGAAGTGACCCTGGTGGGAGAGGGCTGCTTCTGTCCAAAGCTTACTGATTAAAAGTGCATATTGTCAGTGGAGTAACTTTGGAACTATGGAAAAAGATTTCAACTGAATGGCAAGTACCTCTTTCATTTGGTGTATATCTTTATACTCTTTATTCTCATTTGGGTTACTTTTGTGTGGTCATTATGGTTTTTTTTTTGTTTGCTTTTCAACAGAAGTTTATCATCACACTGCCTATATATTATTTGGTTTATAGAGTTTGTCTTTTTAATTTCATCTTATAAGCATTCCAAATGTTGTTATAAATTATTTAGAAACATTTAAATTAATATCAATATTTTATCAGAGATTTGTTCTATTGTTTATTGTGATGGTCTCCTGTTGATGGACTCAAGTCTTTTTTGCCCCATACCCTACTTTGGTGAGTCTTTGTAGGTAAATGCTTTTTCTGCATATCATATTCATCTTATGCTAGACTCCTAGATGTGAAATTACTAGGCAAGGAATATGAATTTTTTATAGTCTCATGATGCATATTCTAAATTAACCATTAAAAAAATTTTAGTAAACTTCTCCCTCCTGGAGTATATAAGAATGCACATCATATTGTCTGTTGCAGCCCACATAGCAAGTAAACAGTTAACTAAATGCAGACTGTGAGCCGACTTGAGAAAATAAAAGTCAAAAAGAATTATATTAAGAACTAAAGACAAAGAATATGAAAATCCAGTGGTTGATCCAAGCTCTGATAGAGACTAGATCTAACAATGGAACAAAAGCCTGAGCATTTATTATATAGGTATGAGCATTAAAGAGTTTCAGTGTGAAAAACTTCTTGAGGTAAACAGGGTGAAGTTTTTAATGCCCAAAAGTTTTTAAAGCCCCCACCAAGTTGGGTAAGACAACTTGGTGGGGGCTTAGCAGTTACATCCATCTCTTCTACCTCTGGGTAGCTGGGATTTTGACATCAATGTTTTTGAACTAGGGAATTCCATGACAAGCATGGAATAATTTTCCTTATCCACAGGGGTCACCTTCAAATGGGTGTTCCCCTAGCACTCTTAACACCACAGCGTTCCCAGAAGCAGTGTCTTACTGTCTGGGGTTTACATAGTTCAAAGTAATGATTTATATACTGCTCATGACATCATATGATATACAGTGTCTTCTTAGGATACAATTCTGTGATGATGTGGCTTTTCTTAAACACTTCCTTTTGCCAGTCCTTGAAATGAGTCTGCTCTGGAAGAATATATGGGATCAAAGAATGAGCAACCCAATAGATATATAGCGCTTGCTGCCATAATTGTGAAAGGCAAAATAATTAATTTTATATAGCAAGTTAGTGATTTATTGCTAGAAGGAAGAGGAGAGGAACATGGTACTGATGGGTTATTTTTGTATCAGAGATTGAACCCAGGGGTGCTTAACCACTGAGCCACATTTTTCACCATTTTTAGTTTGAGATAGGGTCTTGCTAAATTACCTAGGGCCTTGCTAAGTTGCTGAGGATGGCTTTTAATTTGTGATTCTTCTGCCTCAGCCTCCTGAGTCACTGGGATTACAGGCATGTACCACTGCACCTGGCTCTCATGGAAAAATTCTAAAATTACTGAAAATGAAATAAGCCAAGTCTTGTGCCTTCCTAAGTCTCTTTTAAAGGGGTCGAGAAGCCAGGCATAAAGGATCACAAGGTTAAGGCCAGCCTTTCCAATGTAGGAAGACTCTCAGCAACCAAGCAATATTTTGCCTCAAAAATAAATAATAAGAAGGACTGAGATGTAGCTCCTTGGCAAAGTACCAAGTCAAAAAAAAAAGGGATGAGGAGATTGCTGGTAATCAATTGTCAACAGGGCCTATTTGCATTTCTTAGAACATAGTTTTCAATCCTGGGGTCTGTGGTGTCTCATTCCTGCCAGTTTATATCCAAGTGGGGGAGGTGAGACACACCGTAGGGTAGGTGCTTACTGCAGCCATTAGGAAAAAGAAGATGGATCATCTGTTTCTCTTTTTACAGAAAGGCGTGGACATCTTGTGTTTTCTTCCACATAAGAAGTATGGATGCTACAGACTCCCGGGAGCCATCATGCATTTTGGAAACATGAAATATAAACAGAAACCCAGAAAGAAGCAACTGGAAGCAGATGGCACAGAAAGTAAGAATTACTCTGGCTTAACCTCTATTCAAATTCCTGACTCTAAGCTCACTCCTTTTTATCTGTAGTTAAGCTCACTTTTTTTCTGGAAAAAGTTGAAGATAACCAATACTATCATCCTCAATTTTGTTCCTAAAATTTATTCTTTTAATCACTATTCTGATGGAGTATCTGCCTATTGAAGAATAAGAAGCGTTCCTCAATTAATAATTGATGATACCCATGAATTTCCTATACCTATGTGAAATAGGATTGATTTAGACTCTGCCTTTAGCATATAAACTGTGGGAAATCAGAGAAGGGAGCAAATTACCATAAAATACTTTAAATGGCTTGGAGAGGTGAACAAAGACTCTTGGAATTCTAAAAACAAAATAACTAATTCAAAAGGGTGAAAACATAAGACATCATTTTCTGTTTTCACATTTTAACAATCTATACTCTTGCCTGCTTACCAAAAAGATTTGAGGCATATTCAGTGATCTGTATAGAATGATAATTAAACTAGAAAAACCACAGTTATTAGAAGGAAGTGTATCTACTGCAGTTATTATATTTAATATTAAAATTCTTTTGCGTTCATTCATATTTTGCAAATAGTTGTTTTATGTTTTTAATTGTGGCAAAATATGCATAACAAAATTTATCATTTTAGCCACTTAAAAATATATAGCTCAGTGGCATTAACTACATTTACATTGCTGTATAACCATTACCAATGTTCATCTCCAATATTCTTTCATCATCCCAAATTGAAAGAGCTCTTTCCCACTTCCCCCAGTCTCAGGAAAGCACTGTTTTACTTTTTCATTTTATGAGAGAAGGCTTTTCTTATGAGATAACTCAAGAAGTCACCTTCATAAAGTGAGAAGTAAGCCATGAAAATACCTAGGAAAATCGTTCCAGACAGAGAGAGGATTAGAGAAAAATTCCTGCAAAGAAATGTTCTCTTTCTCAAAAAAGAGCCAAGTAGCCATGGGCCTAAGTGGAGGGGAGTGAGAGAATAGGGAATGGCAGGAAATGAGATTAGAGAGAGATTTAGAAAGGTATTAAGAGGACAAGGAGGCTATTACAGGGCTTGGGTTGTATTTAGAGTAAGGTGAGAGACACTGTTAGGTATAGAGGAGAGACATGTGGTCTGATTTATACTGTGAAAAAACTGGCACTGGCTTCTGTGTGCAAAAGAACCTACCATAGATGAGAGTAGAGGCAGGGAGACCAATAATGAGACTATTGCAATAATATGTCAAGAAATTGTGTCTCAGGCTAGGTGGTGGCAATAGACATGGTCATGGGGAGAAACTATAAGCCCTGGATATATGGCCTTCTTTGACCAACCTACTACCTCCCCAATATCATCCCTTTTCCTTGAATTCTTTTATTCGTGATTCCTACAGATATATATATATATAAATTACCTGTCCTTCCTAACCTCTACCTACATCAATTCCCACCAGATGTAAGCTCCATAAGAGCATGGATCTAATCAGTATGTTCACTGCTATATTCYAGGGTTTAAAATGTTCCTGGCACATAGTGGTAGATAATTGTTTAATGAATCCTATCTGCTCAAAAAACAATCATTTAATGCCATAGGACCTCTTTCATCTTTTTCTGGTTGAACATAATGCATGTAGACTTTTTAAAATAAAAATATTCAACCATAATCTTAATGTTGTTTTATATTTAATCTTTTCATTATGTTTCAACTTCATCTTTCCTGCATTATCATTTATGTGGCTAAAATATTTCAGTTTTATGTAACAAAATAATTTAAATATCTCATTGAATATTTATTTCCATTATTAAAAATTTTTGGTGAAAATCCTTATAGATTTTAAGATATATATATAAATTTCTTAGAATAAGTATCCAAAAGTAAGTTTCTTTCTCAAATTGCTCTGTTTTATCATATTTCTATCAGCAGCATGAGAGTAATTCTTTTATTATCTTCAGTATTACTCATACTTTTTTTTCTATTTTTAGTTGATAGGTTGTATTTTAATTTACATTTCAATCTTTTTTTATATTGTCATCATTTTGTACTGTTTCTTCATGAATTTTTGTTTGTAGCCTATTTTAGAAATTAAAGTGCTGAGTTTTTTTTTTTTTTAAATTGATGTCTCAGGGCTTTCAATTTATTAAGCTTTTGTGATTTTTCTTTTAGAATTAATCATTTAGGATAAAATTGAAGGAGCTGGACAGATGGTGTTATGGTTTGGATATGAAGTATCCCCCCAAAGCTTCTGTTTAATGCAGGAATGCTCAGATAAAAATGATTAGATTATGAGAGTTGTAACCTAATCAATGATTTAATCCATTTGTTGGATTAATAATTTGAATGGACTAACTGGGTGGTAACTATGGGCAGGTGGGATGGCTTGGGGAAGTAAGTCCCTGGGAGTGTGTGCTTAGGGTTTATATTTAGTACCCTGATGCTTTCTCCTCCTCTCTTTCTGCTTTTGGGCTTTTGAGCAGCTTCCCTCCACCATGCTCTTCTCTTAGGATGTTCTTTTGGACTGGAGCAGAGGAGTTGGCTCACCTTGGACTGAGCCTATGAAACAGTGAGCCAAAACAAACTTTTCTTCCTCTAGATTATTCTTGTCAGGTATTTTGTTCATAAACATGAAAAGTTGACTAAAACCAATAAAGAAGTAAGTGGAAAGGGGAGGGCACTCAAACCTAAAAGGGCATCTTAGCCTTTACCTCTTTCTTGACTTCCTACTCCACATTTATAAACTTTCTACTGCATATTATTTGGTATCCTAAATTCTCCAGGGCTAAAATTTAGGGCATCATATTCTCCCCAAGTGTTATCTTCCTATTGGCTTCTATTTATATTCATGATACTGCTCTTCTCTGTACTTCACAGACTGGAAACATGTTAGCTATGTTTCTAGATCTCTTATTCCTGTTCCTATTACTTGTTTAGACCTTCCCGTCTTGCACTTGGGCATCTTGCACTGTCTCTATACTTTCAGACTCTTCCCATTCTGATCTGCCCTGCACACTTCCATAAAATTAATTGTCCCATAGTGTAATGTGAAGTATGCCATTTTTCTGCTCAAAGTTCCTTTAACATTTTCTCTATTGTTTGATTAATACTTGAAAATGGCATCAGATGTCTTAAATAAACCACAAATCACTGACTTCTCAGTTTATCATGGTCTAGTTTGTCTGCACTAAATACTAAGACCATAATTTGAACTCGTTCACCTATGTTGTTTTAAGTTGTATTATTCTATGTCTCAAAATTTATTACTTTCTGGCTCATTCTCACATCAAATATTGTTTATTTTTCGAACTTCCATGTTCATAGAGTCATTTCTCTAATGCTGATTTTCATGATGCTTAATTTCTGTGTTTCTTATGTAGTTATTTTACTGACAGGCAACTTATAACTGTGTTTTATTTACTCTTATGACTGATAAACTCTTTGATGCCAGGGAATTTTGTCTGGCTTATCTATCTTTTACTACAGCATTTAGTAGCAAGGTTTGCATATTGTAAGTACCCAGTAAAATTTTGTTCAATAAAATAATAAGATGCAAACAGTTCAGAAATCACTAATCCTTCATGAAAGACTTAATTTAATGTCATTGCCATAACCCCTCCTCAAATTTGTCATATTTTATATTGACAAAAGTCATTTTTGTTTATTTCTTTTATATCTGGTTATTTACAGATGGGACTGCACTGGTATAGAATTGTAAAGTTGAAAATTTCAGATTTCTCTACTTCATTATCTGATTTTAGGTAAAGTTGTACTTTTTTAGTCAGCTTTGCATCAAAGTTGAGAAAAAACTTATTTTTGGCTTAAGATTTCAAAGATTCTGCTGTCCTTCCTTTTCCCCCTTCAGGAATGACAGCAGAATAAAATAGACATTATTATTGCTGTGTGTATATAAGTGACTGCATGACCAATGTGATTCTGCAGCCTGTACACTCAGAAAAATGAGAAATTATATCCCATCTGATTCAAATGTATAATATGTCAAGATTATTGTACTGTCATGTGTAACTAATTAAAACAAATAAAAATTATAAAAAAAAAAGATTTCAGAGATTCAGTCCATGTCTGGCTGACTCCATAACTCTGAGCCTGAGGTGAGATAGAAATTCATGATGGAATAGCATGGCAGATGAAATCTGTTCATCTCACGTCAGCCTGGAATTAGAGAGAGAAAGAGAGATTGAGGTACCAGGGACAAAATATAAACCCCAAAGTCATGTCCCCATGACCTACTTCCTACAGCTATACCCTTCCTGCCTAGAGTTACCAGTTAATTCATTCAAGTGCAAATTAATCCACTGATTAGTTTACAGCTCTTCCATTGTATCGTTTCACCTCTGAATATTCTTGTACTGTCTCACACTGAGCTTTTGGCAGACAACTCATATCCAAACCATAACATGTACTTTATTCTCTCCATCTTCTTGACTTAATAAATGTGCTTACCAAATCTTTCTACCATTTTCTAGATGCTGCTTTGCAAACTTAGTGGTGTACCAGAATCCACCTGAAGGATTTTTAAATTCCTGAAGAGTCTTGCCCAGATGAAAGAAAACAGATCTTTGGGAGTGGGATGAAGTCATTAGTATTTGTTTTTACCATTGCAGGTTATCCCAGTCTGCTGGCAAGGTTGAAAACCACTTTAATAAGGACTTTTTCTTTGAAAATTTCCGAGTATCAGAATGACCTAAGTAACATGATAAACTTAGAGTGGCTTAGACCCTAAACCATTTCAATATACCTAGTCCTTAGGTCCTTTATTAGGTTTTCAGGCTCTTCTGATGATGCAGAAAAACTGGTATATCTCAGGACTCATTTAAAATTGAAGGCATAGCAGGAAGAATTTTCAGATGAGTAGAATATTTTTTTCAGTAACTGAAATAATCAACAATTTGAAATGTGTTTATAACTTTTTGCCTGGGGTATTCTTTTTTTATTACTGTCATATTTTAACCCTCAATAGAATAAAGGCTTATTTATATTTTCTTCTGGCAGCACTTATTCTTCTCTACTTCTTTCTTCAGAAAATTAAAGTTCTGTTTTATAAAACTAGTTTTGTGGGGTGTATGTAATCCTGTTGGGCATCAGAGGGCACTATGGAGTAAACAAATTTCTCAGGAAAAGGAAAAGTTTCTGATAGATACTGGAAAGGTATCCAGACTTGTGTCAATCGGTGATTGCCTTGATGATCAAATTCCACAGCCCACTGAAAAAAATCTACAAGCATATGTCTTCATAGAAGGGGGAAATAAGGGACTGTGGTTGTGGCTCAGTGGTAGAGTGCTCTCCTAGCATGCACGAGGCACTGGGTTTGATCCTCTGCACCACGTAAATGTAAATTAAAGACATTGTGTCCACCTAAAACTTAAAAATAAACATTTTAAAAAATAAGAATGTGGAAATAAATGACTATTTTCATAGAAGGAGAATGCAAATAATAAAGATGAGATTTTCCATGTCCTATACACGGTTCTTTTTAAAAGAGGACGATAAAGAAATAGATTCTTTTAAAAATTGAAATATAATTCACATACCACAACATTTACCCATTTAAAGTATATAGTTCAAAATATTCACAGTATTATACAATCTTGACCACTAAGTGAATTCAGAATATTTCATCTTCCCCAAAGAAACTCTGTACCAATTAGCAATTATTCCCTATTCTCTCCTCTCTCCAGCCCTTCACTGGGGGGATTGGTTCATTCTGGACAGTTTATATCATATGTGGTCTTTTGTTTCTTCTTTCATTTAGTGTAATGTTTTCAAATTGCAGCCACATCATAACATACATGATTTACTTTTTCCTGTTTATAGCAAAGTAGTATTCCATTGTATGAATATACCACATATTGTTTATTCACCAGTTGATTTGCATTTTTCCACTTTTTGGTTGTTATAAATAATGTGCTAGGAATACTATGTATAATTTTTTTGTCTGTAAATATGTTTTCATTTTTCCAGGGTACATGCCTAAGAATGAAATTGTTAGGTCCTATAGTAACTCTATGCTTAACTACTGAGTAATGATCAAAGTATTGTGGCCACAGCACACAAGAGGGTTCTAAATTTCTTCATCCTCACCAACACTTCTTATTGTCTATGGCTTTTTAAATTATAGCCACTCTTTGTTGTTGTTCTTTTTAGATATTATAGCCATTCTAAGTTTTTCAGTGCAGCTTTGATTTGCATCCTCAAAACAATAGCTTCTTTTATACTTTCAAATTTAGTCATTTATTTCAAAGATGTAATCTATATTGACACATATATCTATCCTTCAGTTCTTTGGGTAGTGTGCTGGCTATCCTGTAATGAAGTTTTACACTGTTTTCCTCCTCCTCACTCTCACCTTCTTTTCTTCCTTTCTGGTGACCAGGTGCCGACAAAACTGTGTTCCTCATGGGCACTGATTCTTTGGAGTTCGTGAAGGGCTCGGTCCATCCTAAAATCAAAGTTGGTAATGGATATATTTCCAGAAGTCAAAATATAGAACAGGCAGGGTGATATTTCAAGGGCATTATAATTACATCATCTTGTTATAATTGTATACACATTGTACTTGCATATTTTGCAACTACTGGGAATGACTGCAATAAGGGCTTCTATAAAAAGAACAAAAGAACTACTTTGATGAGTATTCCAGATATTTTTATGTATAATGAAAATCATATCAAAAAACTCTTCAATTAAGAGCCTTTCTATTTTGCAATATGTTTTGACAGTTTTCCCTTATGTAACAAGTTTCTTTGTAGATGCAGACAAACCCATCATGTATTGCAATCAACATCTTAGTTGTCCAGTTAAGAATCTTTCATAACTATCGATTTCTGACATGAATTAAATTGATAAATTGGCATCCCTTAACTATTTGGCATATTGATTTATTTAGAGTAACAGACACATGGTGGCACATTAGTTGAGAAAAGGTTTCAGAACATATGTTGAAGTTAGTATTTGAAGGTACAGGGAATTGAACAGATAGGAGAGGTGGAAGGCAATGTGAGTTTTACTTAGCATACAGAAGGCTGTTATGATGAAAGAATAACAAATAGTTTGAGGACTGTTGAACTTGGGCCTTGTCTATGCAATAAATATTCCCAAGGGTGTTGGATAATATGATCAATTATATATGCTGAAATATTTCAAAATAATAATTTACATCTGCTATATGTATTAGTCAGTATAATATAAGCCACACTGCAGTTAATATACACTAAAATCTCAATGACAACAAAAGATTTATTTTTACTCAACCAAGTCCAATATATATTGCAAAGCTTTCATCCATTCTGTACTTATGCCAACTGGTACACATGGTCTCCAAAGCTGCTGCACAAGGGGGAAAGATAACCTGTGGAGGAAGCATAGCCATCTCAACTGTGTCAGGGTAGAGGGAATATCGCTTTCATTAATATGCCAATGGTAAGAATTGGTCAAATTATCTTCTGAAAGAGAGAATGGTACAGTGAAGTGGCAATTGCTTTTGAAATCTGTAACATGTATAAAGCATTCACAGGTATGTTTATTCTTCTATTTTACAACACTCAGAGGTAAGTAGAGCAGGAATACTATATTTTTCCAGTTGAGGAGACTGAAGCTAAGGAAATATAGTTAATATTCCAAAGAAAGCTCAGCTAGTTGTCATGTGACGCTCAAAATTGTATTACATTTTAAATCTGAAAAGGAGATTGACAAATGATGAAGTTTGGAATAGAAGACAATTATTTTGACTTCATTGAACTGTTTCCCTTGTTATATTGAGGTATCTAATTTGTCTGTTATTTAAAACATTAAGACAACTAAACAAAATCAATTTTATAGCTTAGCTTACTTTATAAACCAGTAATTCAACCTCTATTGTAATATTAATTATACTATATTGAAGTTATCTCCTTATAATTTTGTCCTTCCTGGTGACCTAAGCACTTTGAGGCCATAGACTGTGTCTGATTCGTCCTAGTATCCCAGCATCTAGCATAGTTCCCTGAAACTCGTAATTGCTCCCCAAATGTTAAAATACACTGAATTGAGTGGAAATTGAATCATGTTCAGCAAGTCAATAATTGAGCTATTTTTTTTCCATTGGGGTTAGAGGTGTTTGGCAGTTTCATGCTTTCTTAGACATTCACTGTAACATGCATATGTATGACATTCATGATTATAGAACAGGGCCTTTCTCTTTATAAAACTAATGAGCCCATAAGAGGTCTAAAATCAAACCTTTGCCCCTTTAGTATTGTGTTCTGGGGGAGTGAGTTACCACTCCAGTCTCTACTATCACACTAAGTAATTTAATATATTATTACTCAACATAAAACATGAACTTCATTTTCTTTCTCTTTCCTGGAGACAGAGTAAGAAAGAATACTAAAAGGATTTTTAGAAAGTTTGCTGACTTTATAGAGATAATTACCACTACTAAGAATAGAAATGTGTATGCTTTGTTAATAGCATTTGCAAAAGATGGGGAAAATTTCTGCAGCATTAATAATCTATACAAAGTTTAGCTCTAACTTTAATGCTACTTCACTTTGATATCTTCATTTCTCTGAGCTCTGCAGTGAAGAGGTTGAATGATTTTTTGTTTCTCAATGGAGAGGTATTTGGCATTTAATAAGATGGGACGATTTTTATGGATTACAGTGTCCTATACTTTGTAAATGTTTTGACCCCCGTATACTAAATACCAGAAGCATTTTTAGTCACTAGGACAGCCAAAAGATGCCCCCCATCTTCCAAATGCACTTCTCCCAAGTTGAAAACCTCTATACCTAATTACCAAGAACTAAGGTCTACAGGTCTAGTATTTTATGATTCCATGAATTATAACTCTATTAGAAATAAGTAAATATAATTTTAAAAAGATTAATAATGATGGCAAAACAATAACAATTATCAATAAGCACTGACTACTTACTATGAATGCTGGCTAAAGGATTTGTATGAAGTACCTAATTCAATCTAATAATAAGCCAGAAAGGTAGCCCTAATTAATATTTCCAATGTATAAAGATAGTGACTCTTAGAAATATTGACTACTCAAGGTGACACAGCTAGTAAATACTTAGGTGAGCATGAAGAAGGGATAATGAATGATAAAGGGATGGAAAGGGGAAACTAATATTTATTGGAAACTAACTCCAAGTGTTATGCTAAAGAAATTTACATTCTCTCATTCATTAGATCTCTCACAACACCCCTGAGAAATGTATATTTTTGTTGTTTTCTTACAGATGAAAGTTAATATCAAAATGGTTGTATTTTGACTATTTAATTCCATTTCATTTTTATATGTTTTTGTTTTCTATCATGCATTAGTGCCCTACAATAATCAAAGTCTTCTATGAAGTTTTATTTAAAAGAGCTAAGTAAGCCTGGCATGGTGGCATGTATCCATTTACTCCTGAAATGTAGAAGTATATTTTCAGCTCCTTTTTTCCTTCTTCATTGGACAGAAAAAAAATTATTAGAATTATAACTTATCCAGCAGTATATTGCTCTATAAGTTTCATTAATTAACTCAGTAGACACCATTCTGAATCTCTGGGTTAGTTTTTCATTGCTGTGATCAAAATACCTTACCAGAATAACTTAGAGGAGGGAAAGTATATTTTGGCCCACAGTTTTAGAGGTTTGCAGTCCATGTTTGGTCAGCATCATTGGTCTAGGACTAGGATAAAATAGAACATCGTGTTGGAGGGATAACTGCAGAAGAAATCTGTTCACTTCTGTTTTCTAAGAGAGAGAGGGGCTCAGGGAAGATATACCTTTCTAGTCACATTACCAGTGACCGGTCTCCTTCAGCTATGCCCCACCTGCCTACAGGTACCAGCCAATCATCCAAACTAGGATGGACAGATTAGGTTATACCTCTCATGAGATAATGATTTCACTTCTGAATATTCCTGCATTAACACAGGAGCTTTGGGGGAAACTTCATATCCAAATCATAACAGTCTCCTTCTGCTTACCTCTCCAGACTTTCTTCCTGTGTTTCTCTAGTACTCCCCACTCCTGACCAAACCACTTCTTGACTATTTAGAGAATAAAAAGGGATAAGTGAGTTAGTCCTTTTTTTTTTTTTTAAAGTTTGAAACTGACCACTGTAGACAGGGTAATTTCCTTGATGTTAACAGAAGATAAAAATCTTCCTGATATTTTCTTTGTATACTGGGCTCTTAACTCTCATAATTAAGAACTGATGTCATCCAACTTATGGATTCCTGTGACAATGACTCAAGATAACTGATTAGAGAGGTGACTTACAACTAAATCACCACCAGACACTAACTGACCTTGCTGTGTGTTTTCTCCTGGGCAGAAGGAGGCATGTGATAGGCCTGTTTTGCAAGTTACACTTTGGGGACACATTCTGTTTCCTGGTTTGGAGAGTGTGCAGATAAAATTCACTCCTATTTGGATTCTGTCAGAAACCTGCTATTACAATAGCACTTTTGCATTGTGGAGGCAGGATCTGCATTTCTATGGCATCATCCAGGCACAGAGATTGGATCTGTCCCCTGTAGGTTGCATGAAAGCCTTTGCCACAGCCCTCCAGGGAAGGGACATGCAGCCTCACTTTGACAGTAAGAGAATCTGAGCCAGAATGATGCTAAAAATGGTCATTCTCCATTTAGGGAGATGAGGTTCACACTGGGATCTAATATAATGAAGATTTGGAAGCAAGGACTAGAAAAGAACCTTCAACTCCATCATTTGCAAGACGGTACTGCATTCTAGAGAGAGTCAGTCACTTGCCAAAAGTTATACAAATTGTAAGTGACAGCAACAGTGGCAACAGAACAAAGTTTAGAGGTTACAGATTTCTAATTCACTATAAAAATACTTTTCAAATCTAATTGTGTGTAGTGTTAAAAAAGGTAAGGAAAACTTTATTAAGGACTTGCAATAAGGGTGAGACATTGAACCTAACTCCAAATACATCCAGGTCAAATGAGATTTGTAGGCAAATAACAGTGGGAAGAGGTCAGTGCATAGAAAATTACTAAAGGAGACCTCAAGGATAGGAGTATTCTTGCTGATTTGACCTAACAGGTTTATTGCTGAAGACAGGCTAAGACTTTACACATAAAATTTGGACTTTGAGGAACATGACATCAAGGTTGGGGAAAATTTCCCTAAAGTGATTCTTGCTGCAACTGGGCTAGACAGACTAAAGACAGAGCAAGTAAGATAAGATTGCCTAACTAAAGTTGGCTAAGGAGAGAGCTTTTGACAATAGGCATTATCTAGGAATAGTATTAGAGTACTGAATCTGATTCAGTATGTCTGGGATTGGGACTAAGAGTTTACATCTCTCACAAGCTCCCAAATAATGTGATGTTTCTGGTCTTTGGATCACACTGAATAGGAAGGCTTTAAGAGCACATTGTCACACCCTATCCCCAGTAGTTAGTTCTTTATTAATAGAAATCTGATTTCTCTGGTCTGTGCTTTCGGTAGGAAGCTAGCTCACTATTTTCTTCTGCCCTTATTTCCTCCTTTTTCCTCTTCTCCTTCTTTCTTCTTCTTTTCTTTGTTCTTATTGTATTCCACAGAAAGGTAAAACCACAGAAGGTCAATAAATAAATCATGATTTGACTAGATGGTATTTCCTGAGAGCTACCCGGGATTAAAATGAACACTGTTGTGAGATAAAGTAGTGTTTTCAATATCACTTCTAGGTAACCTGTGTTGTTGGTTCCTTGTCCAAGTCAATATGTGAAAGGATGCTTAAGTGGCTGGTGGCATGTATTGACAGGTCCTGGATGCTAAACTGTCAAAGCAGTTCTTCATTAGCATGCTTGACATTACTGGTTTTGAAATCCTTGATGGCAGTATATATACTAAGAATTAAATCAATGAATATTTAATATAGATTAGAAAAATGTCACTTGAACATGGGAAAATATGGCCAAAGCATGATAAGAATTATTATGTACAAACCTTAAAGGCTCTATTGCATGGAAAAGAGCTACAATCAATATTAATAATAATTAGTATTACTAGAATTATTGCAAGAATTTAATGTCTTAGTTAAGCCTTACATAAAGGTAAACAGAAGTGAAGAAATCTTCTGTGATTTTAAATTACAATTATATTATATATTATTTTATTGTAATAATCTTTAGTTTGTAGATATATTTGAAAAGGGAAGACTTTATTTTAGCATTTTTTGCTGTCTAGGTCTATTTGCCATCATATGATAGTGGGTATGATTTTCTCTTTAATGTGTATTCTTATAATTAGAACTCTATATTATTTTTATCTCTTCTTCTTACCTATTCATATCTTTGAAGTATAATAGCCTTGAGCAACTTTGCATTAATTTTACCAGGGAAAAATGACAACAGTTCTTCAATCAGCATACGTTTATTTTGATGCAAGAAGAATACAGGAAAGAGAGCATTGACTGGGTATTCATTGACTTTGTTCTGGTTTTACAAGCCTGCATAGATCTCATTAAGAAGGGAATATATATATTTTTCCCCATCCATTTTCATTTAAGAATTGTCTCTGCTTGACATGTTGATCCATGCCAGGCATAAGCCTCTGCCAGAGAATAGGAAATAGGGCCAGAAGGTACTGCACATTTTCTTTAATGATCCTTGTGTGCAGCACTCTTGGCATTCTAACTAAACTCTCACAGCAGTTCCTCTTACTCCATCATTTCTAATGCAGACTATGGCTATATATTTGCAGCTTGGGCATTACTTTTACCATTAATATGTGAGGAGATTTGTTGAGATTAAAAATGGCCACATTCTTGATTGGGGAAAAAAAAATAAAAACAGAGCTATGAGCACTGTAGAGTGTGGCTGATTAACATATAGTGAATGTGTAGATTCAAAGATGCTTAACAAATTTTGGCAAATTAACATGCAAACAAATAACTGCCATAAATCTCAAGGCTACTACCTTGCAGAATGTAGTTTGTTCATTTAATTGGACAAGTACCAGTTAGTTTAAGTAATTATGACAGTACTTCATCATTTATTAGTAAATTAGCTGCAGTGTATGGTTTCTGAATTTAGTTTGTCCCTGGACTCTAAAAATTTCCCCGTGCTCTGGAAAAGATTAAGGAGATTTGTTACTGGAGTTCTGATGGTCTTTTCTGTGACTTTATCCACATGAACAAGCACAGTGGCATACTTGCAGCTACATGCCCCTTGTTTCCTGCTGTAATCAAGAACCGCAATGAATTTTGGAGACAGACCTGGACAGTCCAAAGCCTTTGACCTTCTGAAAGTTCTCTAGCTATGTTGTTATATTTAGTTCTCAATGACCCTGTCAAGAAAGATCTGGGATGACTGACCTCTCATTTTCCTTTTCAGATCTCAGATTTTATCAATCAGTACCCTATCAGTTTTATTTATTATGCTTTAGAGAAGACTATATCTTCCTTTAAAATAATATGTTCCTAACAGAGGTGGACACACATTGATTTTGTTTATTTTCTAATGAGTAAATTTAGTGGGGGGGGAGGACAGGCACAATCGAAAAAAAATGATAATGGATTTACTATACGCTCATTAAAAATAGTAGTGAACCAACCAATATCTGGTAGATGTTTTGTGGCATTATAAAACTGTAGTTTTCTGACTAGCAATTAAACAAAAAAACTGGAGGTCCTCAGAGGGACAGATTTAATTTCTGGAAATTTAATTGCTACCTGTGACATCTGCTTACTTTCATTATGACAAGACACTATTTTCAAGCAGAAAGATGGGATATAGTGTTTGTTCAGATCGTGATATGTCTGAGAATGTTATTTACTTTTAGTTGACCTGAAGGTTTTTAACTCATTTTTGCTAGCCAATATGGATGTAATTTCCTGTTGTATTTTCTACTGATATGATAAAATGAAGAAAAAAAATACTGAACAGATAGTAGAAAGCAAAGATAAGTCTTTGGTTTTCTATGAACAATTTCAAAGAATTCAGTTTAGGTCAGGAATATTAATAGCAAAACATATCTTGCAAAGATCCTATAATTTGAAAAGATTCATTATGCTGATTAGAGGTCTATGAAGAAAGCTTGTAGCTAATATTAATGGTCTAGATACTTAGTTCTTGCAAAAGAATAAATAATGGGGAGTTTTAAAAATACAAAATAACTAAAATACATCCATAAGTCCAAAGTGTCTTATAGCATGTCTATTCTGTGTATAAGGAAAAGAAATTTTCATACATAAAAGTTTATATTTTTAAGTTTACAAAAATGTTTATCTTATACAGAATTAAACTATATTTTAACACCAATTTTAATTTTTAATCTGGTCTTCAAGCTTATAGTGACCTCCTTTCATATATATGCTGTAAATATATACTTATTTTGTTACTTTAAATATTCTAGTTTGTTTAGAACTTTTGTCAATGATTTACATATTATCGTGATTACATATTTACATTTATATATGATTATCCCTATTATTTCTTAACAAATACAACAAAAATTATACACTTAAAATCTTATTACTCTTGTAGTATAGCAACTTTGAAAGAATATATCCTTCTTCCAATAATTCAACTTTTTGGGAAATACTCTTACAGGATTGAGTTTAAGAGTTTAGAATTATACAATACTTAAAAGAAAATTCATTTCAGTATTTATCATCTTACTAGTTTTTGAGTCCATACTATCTTATTTGCCTTTTTTAACTAATTTGGCCTGAAAACTTTTGATAATTTTTATACAGTGATATGCCATCAGGCAGCAGGAATTTTCCTTGTCAGTAGTCAGTGGTGTAAACTATTACAAATCAAGTTCTAAAATAGTTAAACCCTGGTAGCATCTTGGAATTATATAAATGTTGTCTCCCAAAAGGAGATCTTTGGATGTGCTAATTTATATATATATATATATATATATATATATATATATATATATA